TTTCGAGCTCGCTTTACTATTAGGGGTGTAGACGGTAGGGGTGTAGTCAGCCAAATAAATTTGTGCTTACTGATTGCCGCATGCTAGCCACTCACACTATAAATTGATAAAATTAGCAGCATTGATATATTTTAGTAGCTTACTTCATTACGCCTGGGGAACCGAATGGCGCGTAGCCCGTGATCTGAATGCCCTTGGAGTGACAGTGGTCAATCAACTTTTGATTTAGCCAATTCACGGAGACTTCAATCTGGTTCACCGCTGGAGGTATTTTGCAGCTGGCCAGAATGCGATCAATTTGATCCTTGTTAAAGTTGGAAACGCCGATGGACCTGGCAAGGCCGGCCTCAACTAGCTCTTCCATGCCCTGAACGGACAATGACACAAAAAAGAAAATGATCATCAAGAAAATCGAATCAAATAGCATGGTCGATTAAGTAATATAGCCCTGTTGCAGTTATTCGCTTCTATATGGGGCACACTTGAAAGTACACACCATCTGTAACCACTTGCCTGACATTTAGAGACTTCACCTAATGGTATAAACGCATCCGTTTCGTCAATAACTCATGATGATTTTGTAAGGTATTGAACCAATCCTTACTATCCAAACTTCGAAATTGACTCCCAATTAATCCGACCTTCCCGAAAATGACATTTTGCTATTACTGGGTGTTTTGTGTCCTGTTCCCATGGCGCCAGCGGGAAAGATTCTTTAAAAGGTTCGTGAATCAACAACTGCCGGGCCGGGTGGCGCCTTAACAATTTTCCTAAATACCTATTGTTTTCAGATATTATAACAACGGCATTTCAAAAAGGTCAAACAATTATCCGATGGAATTCTGAATAATATTGTCCACACCTGCGTCGTGATTTCTCGCATATAAACATTCCGTAGAACTATTTCTGACACGATATTTTACCTGCGAAGCTATAGAAATACAGAAACTAGGACTTTAATACTCCCCCTAATAGCCGTACGTTTTCATGCAAACCTATTAATTGCCGCCATCTTTTTCTATCTGCATTTTGGCCACAGTGAATGAAGACTTTTTTGATAAATATTTTGGGTAAAATCCTAGTTTGGGTAATAGAGGAGCACGCGAAACCCCCATACTTCTGTAATATAGCACCGGATGAAATAAAACGCATACAGTATAGACCAATACAGAAAATTATAAAAACACAGTGAAACGATACTTTTGAATTAGTGCGTTTTTCCTTTCTCTCCCTCTCTTAGTGGAGGCAGTCGAACCCTCATTCAGCATACCCGAACGTCTGTTTTTGCGTACCGGATATAAGTACCTGTCCTTTGGGTTCCCAGTTGCTCCAGGTGATCCAAGACTTGTTCCGTAGAGAAAAGAATTGTTCTTTTCTGAGGTTCAACTCACCCTCTTCTTACCTGAGGCGGGATTTGGAGATCATCATGGTCTGGCTCTGAACATAGCCTCAGAAGACACAGTAAAAGGTTTTGTAGCGACCTCGTATTCTAAGCCATGCTTTCCTCGCACGCTTTTGGGGAATTTCTGGCATGTCTGTTATTCGTGTTCAATAAGCACGTGCGCACCAAAGCTTGTCAAACGCAGGTTAACGTCACGGACGTGTCTGTCTGACCTAACTGGCTAACCACTTCCCAAGCCAGTCCACAAAGGACCTTAGTGTGGTGACTGCTTACGCTCAGACACGCCCGGAGCTGGCAACCTTAGAGCCGGTTGCAGACATCCGGACCCGGTGATTAAACCCGCCGGAATGCGACTCTGGACTCGGCCGGCACATGGCTGGACTGAACTCGTTCGAGAGTCAGTTACGCATTACTCATATTCTACTCCTTCTGCACTTAAGTAAATTATCCATAACACTCTGGCCTTATCTTATTTACTAGTTTATAACCATTGGGATACGTTCATCTATTATACGGCCAGACGACTTCTTATCCTACAGGTTTATCCAGAACACAAAAAAACGTTTAAAAATTAAATGCTAGGCGTTGTGAAGCGGACGATACAGGTTAGTCGACCGACGAAAGTGGTAGTCAACCTAGCAAAATTGCGCGTGTCCTAATCACCTAACAATGATCAACATAGCACAAAAGGAAAAACGTATACATTCGTAATTGCAGACAGCCAAAAGTTAACTCACCTTCCACGTTTCCTCCACAGGTATGTCCTCAAAGTCAAACACACTTAAGTCAGTTGTTGAGAACTGTTTACCCTCCTTCAACTACGCGCCTTATAGGATGGAAAAAGAAGTACCTTGTACGAGACGGGCAAGTGAATGAGATACAGATCCAAGTAATTGAGTCCAAATTTCCGCAAACTCAACTCACATGCTGGACGCACATCCTTCCGACGGTGGTCACTGTTCCACAACTATATCGCAGGTTAGCGTACAATCGCAGATTGCCTTTGATGTGATGAACATGTCGTCACGTTTAAGAGTTCCAGCGTCAAATGCCTGCTTTACTGCCCTGCCAACTTCGACTTCGTTTTGGTAGGCGCGTGCGCAATCAATGTGACGATAGCCTTCCGCAATAGCCCAAAGCAGAGGTTTTTCCACTTCGTGCGGTTTTGTCTAAGGATATAGAACTTTAAGGAAGAACAACCATGAGCGTGCCAAAGCCCAGTTGAGGTATTTTGTAACCGCTGTTGAGAAGCAGGAAAGTTTGGCACCGAGCCATACGTGGTTGGGTAAACGTTTGTCGTATAGATATGATGAAAAGCTGTCTTCGCGTGCGATGCACCTGTCTATATAGGTGTTTGTGCCTAGTCGTAGGCACCGCGTTTTACGATGAGGCTGCTTGGTAGTAAACACGACATGGTGAATATATGCAACGATTTTGATTAATGGTAGTTCGAAGGCAGGATAGAGGGGTGGAAAAAATGCATTCAGAAAAGTAGTTTATTGCGCAAACGTCGTCTGGACAGTCACATAAGTTGTGTTACAAGCGAGCGCGGATTAATCGGAGTCCTCAAAGCAGAGTTCGGAGACACACATCTTCATTTTTTGTTCGGAACGAGAACACTAAAACAGTAATCAGTGGGAAACGATTAAGTGGTGTTCACGGGCGATCGTGGAACACGCGATGCGCGCGCACATACACGCTGTGTGCGCGCGCGGACTAGTTGGTGTACCTTGAGAGAATCACA